GTTTATTTAAATTTTCTTTGTGCGTTTCTATTTTACATTTCTCTCTCTCCCCTCAGCCACCCTCCCCTTACAATGGGCATATATAACTTCTTTTGTTAGAAAAAAAACTAAGCTATTCACATTCGAAGGGTAAATACCAGCAAACCACAATGATTTTATTTCTAACCCAGGCTGGTTTCTCAGCTACGTCATAAAATACAAATAAAATCACTGCAGAACTCCCCAGGTCTTCCTTTGACCACACAGTTAGCAGGTTAAAGTAATGGACATTATGTTATTCACTTTATAAACTGAAATTGTAAAGGCACCAATCACTACAAAATAAAAAATATGTAAATTAGAATTTTATCACCTTTCTGGTCAAGTTTTGCAGTATTTGTTATTTATCACCCCTCCCCTAATCTTTTAGTTGTTGTGATGTTTTAATCTGAATGAAAATATTTAATATAGTTTTATATTTAAGCTAGTATTTTAGAATCAGAAGGGGAATTTTTATTTAATAGTTAACTTGTTTGGGATGCTGGATCAATTTTTTCATCAGTTACTGTTATAATTTTGTAACATTTTATTTTATTATAAAGGGAAGGAATTCTTCATAGTAAAAAAACAAAAACAAAAAACCTGATGCCCACAGAGCAGCTCTATAGAGGAACAATTGTAATCTCATTTATTATATTTTAAACTTTGGAGTTTTAAGTACATACACAAAAAGATTATTTGAACCTCCTATTACGATGCCTTCGATTGTTAGACTGTCTTGTTTGCAGGCAGCATCTGGCAGAATATTAGTATAATATACATTCCACAGGAACTTAACATAATCCTTGTTTGCTTAAAACTTGCAGGTTAACTATAATAACCTTGTATCTTAGTCTTAACCAGTATACCTGTGATGATTCAAAAGCTGACTATGATGGAGACATTTAAAATACACGTAAATGTTTTGGCCCAAAATATTGTTTGGATTAATTTGTGGGGGAAGGGTAGGGGTGACATGAAGATAAGAAATTGTGTTTGTTCAGGGCCGGCCCGGTGGCGCACTGCTACGGTGCGCCGCTTGGGAGTGCGGCGGCGCTCCCGC